TAGCCTCTACAAGACCAGAAAAGGAAATAAACTGTCCATTTATTAAACCCACTTTCTGATTTCCCACCCTGGCTTCCCTGACTCCAGACACATGAGCGATTGTTTCCATTAACAAGCATATTAAGAACAGTTAACAGGTACATCAAGAGCAAACGCTGGGATAGCTATGTTCACAGGATGATTAACTATCAGTAAGCACCTTTAATGTTTAACATTGAAGTCATAATAATCTCCTATTCTATTTTTTCCTTAGTGCACATTTTCAGCCAACATTGTCCAAACTAAACTATAATATTATAGTCATGGTAATATCTTATTCTCTTCTTGCCTAGGAACACATTTGCAACCCTGTTTACACTTCACTAAACTTGTTTTTCACAGGATACTATCCCAATATTAGAGTTATGATTAAGGGGGAAGACTTCCCACAAATAAAATTAATGGAAAATAATAAAATGTGATGACCCCTATAATCCCACAAATTCAGAAAGCTAAAAAAGCAAGGAAACAATGTATATTAATATGAAATAACATCAAATCACCATGATGTTAACATTAAATATCTTATAATTTTGTCAATTATATCTTAATAAAAGTAGGAGGGACAAGAAAAATACTGTGCCAAGGCACCTAATAATCAAGTTTCTAGCCATCCAAAATGAAAATATTAGAAGGCTGTTTCCTTCTGACTACATTGAGGGAGAACTCCACCCCATTGCTATCTCTTAGCTTTTAGTGATAGCCAGCAATCCCTAGTATTTCTTACCTTGTATACAATTCCGGTCTCTGTCTTTTTTGCAGGTCTTGAGAAGAGTTGTGGGAGAAGTCACTCTCAACAACAGTTTGAAGGGCTATGCCCTGGCAGGGACTGATCCCCAGGCTATTGCATGCAAAGCATGCATTTCTAGCCCTTTGAGCAATCTCACTAGTCCACCTTTTTGAGGTGGGGGTGGGGTTAGGCCACACCCAGTGATAGTAAGGGGTTATTTCATGCTCTGTGCTCAGGAGTAATCCCTGGAAGTGCTCAGGGAAATATACGAGGTTGGCCGCATGCAAGGCAAGCTCCTTACCTCCTATACTCCATTTTCTCCAGCCCACATTTCTTGCCTTGAAGATGTATCACTCCATTGCTGTCTGTATTCTTCACATCCTCTTGTTTGTGTCACGTGTGCTTTCGTATATACACACTGTCTATGTATTTAGGGTCCACCTAAATCCAAGATAATTTCATCTCAATATTTCCTAATGTAATTACAATAGCAAAGACTACAAATAAGGCTACATACAAAGATATTGGAAATTGGTAGTTGTGTGGAGATGAGAAGGTGTGGGGAGTACCACTGAAAACTTACTACAGTCAGGCTAAATAATACTGCACAAATCAAACTTTAAGTAGAAAAGACTGTTTCTATTAGACTCCAGAGTAAAGGGAAGGACATCCAGAGGACTTCTAGTCATTTTTTTCAGCGAGTGGAGTCATTACTAGGGATGCTCGGGGGACCACTTGTCCTATCCTTACACCCATGCGCTATTTCTCCAGCCCAAGTCAGGGGAAATTTGCATGTAATCTACATGTTATATGTTGAGAAAGGTTGAGTAGTCTTAAGCGATTCTACTGAAAGAACAGTAAAGAACTTGTCCGCAGACCAGCTTCCAGCGTTCAAACAGGAGGGCATACTGAGGGAAGAGGCTAAAATAGTTAGAACTGGACACAAGTGCCAACAGCTGGGTAGTGTCAGCAATTAAGATATTCTAGGGAAGCTCCAGAACAAATATTTTAGGGGTTAAGGTGCTTGTGTTACATGTAGTTAACTGCTGTTTGATCCTCTGGTCCTCTGAGCACTGCTGGGAGTGACTTGTGAGCACAGAGCCAAGAATAACTGCCTAGAATTGCCAGGTGTGATTCCCTCCAGTTGTATGTGGGTATGTCAAGTATATGTGTGTGTATTTGTTGGTACAAAACAACATACATCCAAGCATATGAATATAATATATGCATAAATACAGATCCACTGTGTATGTGTATGTGTGTGTGTATTTCATTTCATTCATTCATCATCCTGTTATTCGTCGATTGCCTCGAGCAGGCCCCAGTAACGTCTCTTTCATCCTAGCCCTGAGATTATATTCAAGGCTCTTTAGGAGAATGAGATCCATCATTGTTACTGGTATTTGGCACATTTGGTACGCCACGGGGAGTTTGCCAGACTCTGCCCTGTGGGCAGGCTACATTCGATAGCCTGCAAGTTTGTCCAAAGTAGGAATGAGATAATAAGATGTCATAAAAAGATGTCCTGATAAGATGTCGCGTGGCCGTGCGTGTATTTGGTGGTTCAAAAATAACCCAAAAATGTCGTGTAGTATTGTGAAGAAAAATGTCATAAGTGAAACATTGAAAGCTCCAAATGAATTAAGGACAGGGTGCTAAATATCACTGTAGCAGCTTGTCAGTTACTAGCAGTGTAACAATGGGGATATTTCCAAGTGTTATGTGCCTTGGATTCATCATTGGTAAAATGGGTTTGCTAGGCCGATCATGTAAAACAGCAGAAAGTATCTAAAGAAAACCATCTAGAACATTACCTGACATTTATGTCATATTTATTTTATGACTGCTGTTTTTAAAATCATTTTCCCCATACCTTACTATTCTTCTGGTAGTTTGTTTTCATCTACACACTCAGATAATAACTCAATAAAAGATTAATATCAAATAAAGAAATAATAAAGTTTCATAAACACAATTAGTCATATACTTCTTCTAAAAGGATACATTTCCTCTAAATTTGTAAATTTCTATATTGATTTCATCTTCTCTAGCTGTTAATATGTGAAATTCCAAAAATTTAAATAAAAATCCAACTCTTCCCTTCCATTCTAATTATTCAACCATCCAAAACACAGTTTCTGTTCACTTCAATATCACCAAAACCTACACCTTGATTGAATTTGGGCTTACTACCCTCAAGGTAATCTATCTTTAATGTCATCTTAATATAGTGGGTTATGGCTCTCAGTTCAGTGAAGAGGGACAATCTAATGATTTCTTAGAACCACTTCAAGAGAGTGTCATGCTAGTCTCGAGGATATTGCAGTTTATGTTTATAGAAACACAGTTCATGCTATGTTCAGTTGCTATAAGAGTTCAGGATTCCTGTCCATATGGAGAATTCTTTGGTTTACCTATAGTCCAAAAGTAACTAAGCAGTTTTCCATTCTATACTTTTCTGTCACATCCACATCACACTGAGTGTCTGGTTCCTACCACCTCCGACAGTTTAATTTAGCATTAACTCCCACAAAAGGAATTTAAATTTCCCAAAGCCTCAATGACTTGGTTCAAAGTATTTCAACTTTTTAATAATAGTGTTAACAGTCATGATTTTGGTATACACAGTTATAACACCTCAACACGACCAAAGTGCCCAAGATCCTCCATCAATGTCCTTATGTGACTTCCACTAAAACACATTATTCTCCTCCTAACCTCATTTGGCTTTCTTTTCTGCAGCCCAAAGCCAAAGGGTTGTCTTTCAAAGAAAATATTTGCACACCACACATAAGATAATTGGCTAATGTCCCACATACATAAAGCATTCACAAGGCTTAATAACAAAGAACAGCTCCATCAAATAATCCCATTTGAAGAGGACATAAATAAATATTGCCAGGAAAGGGACACAGATTTCCAGTACACATATGAAAAAAAGTGTTGTCACTTGTTAGGAAAATGTAATCCAAAATGACAATGAGAGATCATCTACCATTAGTCAAAAAGACTGGAAATAACTTATATTGACAAGGATGTAGTAAAAGAAAATGCACTCCTCATTCACTGCTGGTAAGAATTCTGTCTTGTTCACCCTCTATAGGAAAAAGTATGCGTAGTTTTCAAAAACTAAGAATAGAGCTTTCATATGACCAATATTTGACTTCTTGCACATACCCCCAAACCAAAAATATTAACTTTAAAAGATATTCACGTGCCTATGTTCTTTTTTGTCCTTTGAAAAAAGCCAAAAAGAACCCAAATGTAGAACAGATGAATGTTCTTGCACATACTCCCAAAACACAAAAATATTACCTTTAAAAGATATGCACATGCCTCTGTTCATTGTTGTCCTTAGTAAAATAGTCAGAAAGAACCAGAAAGAACCCAAATGTAGAACAGATGAATATATAAAGTTGTATAGATTGAATTTGTTGCAACTTGGATGGAATCGGAAGGTATCATGTTACGTGAAACAAGCCAGAGGAAGAATAATAGATGACCTCACAGATCTACAAAAATACCAGATGATCTGATTTATCTGTGAAAAACAAGGGGTCCAGACAGGGAATTTCAACCTGACTTCTCACATCTGGAATTTCACCTCTTAATTCCTTATTTTCACTCTTTCTGTAGGTAGTGAATACATCTTACCATCTTCCGGATAGAACTTCTCCTAGCCTCCATCATTTTATGGATGGGGACGTGTCTTGCTTATTTTAGTACTTCCTCTGTTAACATAGTGGTTTATATAGAGCAAATATTCATTAGTGTTTAACAAATAAAATGTCAGTGTGCAAGGTGTTTCACTTAATAAAATTAACTTGAACAAACCAAGTAAATCCAGTTATACAGCTTTTAATTTTACATAATAGATATAAATTGTTAAGGATATCCAAAACTTAATCGTATTTTACACATTTTTTTCTACTTTCTGCTGAATTCTTTTACATTTCCATGGATATTCCCAATCCATTCCCATGTTATCTTGTTCCAGAGACTCAAGATATCTTTGCACCTCTGGAATACAATTAAATGAAAGGCCTACCAATTTGTTTCATATCCATACCTATTATCATACTGAATGAAGCCAGTCAAAATGAAAGGGACAGATATGAAATGCTCTCTCATATGTGGGATGAAAATACATAGCAAAGCAGCAACAAACAGCCAAAGGCGACAGAACTTGAGAACTGTCAACGGAACTAACTGAGTTTATCTCGGGTGGAGGAAGAGAGGAGGATGAGAGATGCCTTTGGAAAATTAGTGGAGGGAAGCAGGCACTTGGTGGTGGGTGTGGTGTTTGAACAAGGTATGCATGAAACTATCATTGACTGTATTGCAAATGACAATACCTCAATAAAATGTAGTATTAAAATAATATAGTCTTAAATTGATAAACAAGACAATAAATGTGTAAACAGTGTCACTCATAAATTTGAATTCTAAAGTTGGTAAACAAAGGAACAGTAAAAATACAAAAAGGAAAAAATCATCTATTCAGAACAGTAACACATTGTTATACATGCTGTTCTCCCTAGCCTGAACTTGACCCTGTTCTACTTAGAATATTTACTGCTTCTCAAAGTAAATTCACTTGGAGGCTCATTCTTCAGTTGGGGTAGAAGAACCCGACCAATATTTACAATGAGTATGGCAGTAATGCTATCTTTGGAGCCACTGAAAAATCCAACTTACTTTTCCTCATCTTTTAAGAGCTTCTCATACCAGAATGAGAAGGAAATAGGGTCAATCACTTTTATCTTAATCAAAAATTCCATAACGGTTTTCTTTTTAATTTCAGCATAAGCTCTTGGGCCCCACAGGAATTCATACTGTGGAGGATCACTATTAAGCACCTGACGGTACTCCAGGTAATTATCCAGGACCCAATCCCTCGTAAGGAGCTGCTTGGGGTCCCCATAAATGAAGTGCTCCCTCTCAACATGAACCCCAATGATATCAAGGAAGTCCCAAATACTTTCCTCAGGGGCACAGTCGCCCTCTATGATGATAACACCCAGGATGATTGTCAGGAGACCATTTTTAGGCATAATGTTAGGGTCATTGAGACAGTCATCATAAGTGAGACTAAGTGTATTTATAAGGACATAAGAGTGGATAGTGGGGTTCACTTCCTTCACATCAATGCCAGAGATCACCTCTAAGCACTTGGAAGCTTTCTTAAAGATCAAAGGAAATCGCTTCTTGTAATTTTTAATGACAACCTTCAGCATTTCCTCCTTTGTGACGATCTCCTTCATTCGATACTTGAGGATCATGAATCGCACCAATTCTGTCACCTTCTCATATATTGGATCTTCAAACCAATATTCAGTGGGTGGTGATATCAGCAAGGAACCGGCATCCTTCTCTTCTTGGCGACTGGAACCTTCATCTGATGTGTCCAAAGATGGGCTGGAGGACAGGAGGTTCAGAGGACTCTGGAGGAGAATTCAAGGTCACAAGAGGAGGAATTTCCTGATTTCCTGGTTCTCCTCCTCTTTTTCCTCCTCCCCATCTTCTCCTTCTTCCCATTCTTCCTCCTCTTACTTCTTCTCTCCTTCTCCTCCACTTTCTCCTCCCCCTTCTCTCCCTCTTCCTTTTCTTTTCCCTCTTCCTCCCTCTATCCTCCTCTTCCACTTCCTCCTCTCTCTCCATGTCCTCCTATTCTGCATTCTCTTTCACCATCTTCTCCTCCCCCTCAGTAATTAGCATCACAAGAAAAGATGGGGAGCAGGATAAGTGTGATTGAAAAAGGTGAATAAACAAAAGGAAACTGAGAAGAGGCCATGCTCTTCCTCAGCTATGGGCACCTGTGCCATCTCCAGGTCTGATATGTCACTTTGGATCTGATAACTTGATGCAAGTGTCAGGTGTGGACGCTTTGAAGAGTGACAGGATAACTCTTGCAGGAGGAAGCCAGTAGAAGTGTAAGCAGGAGACAGGATCTAAATGCCTAGGGGTGAGAGAGAAAGGGTCAGTAGCCTCAACACAGAAAGGCATCTTTATCTCTGAGAAAGGTCAAATGATAGGCTTCCACTTTAAAGGATTCCCAATGGTCCCACAGAGATGTCTTAATGGCTGGTTTGTCTTCTTGGAACCTGTAAGAGGATATGAGAAAGCTCCTCATGGTGAAGCCACCTATTAGGAGGGTAGGATCATATTCTGTGAAGTTTCTTTTGTTCAGAGTTCAACACCATTTTGTAGCTTCTCAATAAATCAACTAAACTAAAACTCAGTAGAAAAATGCTTACTTTAAAGGAATAAATGGAAGAGAGTGGGTTAATATATATATTGTTTTCTTTTGTTTTCATCCTTAAAAAGCCAAATATACATTCTTCTCCATTGCACATGGGACATTCTCCACAACAGACCATATCATACTGGGACACAAAACACCTCCACAAAGTCAAGAGCATAGAAATCATCCCAACTATCTCCTTAGACCATGATATACTCAAAGCAGAAGTTAATCACAAACCGAAATGGAAAATCAACTCAAACACCAGGAAATTAAGTAGTTCATTAGTTAACAACCAATGGTCAGAAAGAAAATCAAAGAGAAACTAAAAAGATTCCTGGAAACAAACAAGAATGAAGACACAACCTACCAGAACTTGTGCACACAGTAAAAGCACTGGTAAGAGGAAAATTCATAGCTATGCAAGCATTCATCAAAAAAGGGGGCCTGCATAAATTACTTGACTGCACAACTTGAGAAACTGGAAAATGACCAACAAAAGGAGTCCAAAACAAGCAGGATAAATAAATAATAAAACATAGAACAGAAATGAATGAACTGGAATCCCCCAAAACAACCGAAAACATAAATGAAACCAAGAGCTGTTTCTTTGAAAAAATAAACCCTAACCCTAACAAACCTAATCAGAAATGAAAGTGGGGACATCACAACAAACACCACAGAATTTCAAAGGATCATCAGAGATTACTTTGACAATCTTTGTTTCACAAAAAGAGAGAACCTCCAAGAAATGGATAAATCCTAGGACTCCTATAACCTCGCAAGGCTGAACCAACATGATTTGAAATACCAAAACAGACCTAGAACTATTGAAGAAATTGAAATGGTAATCAAAATTCTTCCCCAAGACAAAAGCATATAACCAGGTGATTCACTAGTTAATTCTTTCAAACCTTTAAAGAGGACCAAAAGCAAATCCTTTTCAGGTTTCTCCAGGAAATTGACAAAAGGAAAACACGCCAAACAGTTTCTATGAAGCAAACAGCACCCTGATACCATAAGCTGCCAGAAACACCACCAAAAAAGAGAATTAAAGACCTATATCCTTGATAAACACAGATTTAAAGTTTCTCAACAAAATTCTACCAAACAGAATCCAACAATTCATCAAAAAGATTGTACATCATGACTAAGTAGGATTCATCTCAGGTATGCAAGGATAGTTTAACATATGCAAGTCAATCAAAATAATACACTATTTCAATAAAAGAAAAAATAAATCATAGCAATAGATTCATAGAAAGCATTTGACAAGATCCAGCATCTCTTTGTGATAAAAACTCTCAACAAAATGAGTTTCTTTACATAAACATAGCCGTTTACCACAAGCCATAGCAAACATTATACTTAATGGGAAAAAACTAAAATCCTTCCCTGTAAGAGCAGAAACAAAACAAAGTTACCCTCACCCTTTCTATTCAATATGGTATTTGAAGTATTGCTATAGCAATTTGGCAAGAAAGTGATATCAGGAGCAACCAGATAGGAAAAGAAGATACCAACCTCTCACTATTTGCACACAACATGATACTATATTTAGAAAATCCTAAAGACTCTACCAAAAAACTCCCAGAAAAGAACATAATTTGTATAGTAAAATGGTAAGCTACAAAATTAATATGCAAAAGTCCATGGCTTTCCTATATATAGGAAATAATGAAAAAAAGAGAGAGATTTTTAAAACTCCCGGTCACAACTGTGCCTCAGAAAATCAAGTACCTCAGAATCAGCTTAATTTAAGAGGTGAAATACCTATACAAATAAAAATATAAAACCCTACTTCAAAAAATAAAAATGATACAAGAAAATAAAAAAATCCCCTGCTCATGGATTGGGAGAATTAATATGATAAAAATGGCAGTACTTCCCCAATGCATAATACAGATTCAATGCAGTCCCTATAAAGATATTCATGGCATTTTTGAAAAGAAATAGATCAAACACTCCAAATACAACAATAAGCATCCTCTCACTCCTGAATAGCTAAAACAATCCTTGGAAAAAAGAAGATGGGAGGCACCAATTCCCCCAAGTTCAAGCTGTACTACAAAGCAGCCATAATTAAAAAAGCATGGCACTGGAGTAAAGACAGACCCACAGATCAATGAAATAAAATGGAATCCTGACACAGACCTTTAGGTACAATGACTGGCTCTTGAAGAGGGACAGAGGAATCAAACTCGGATCAGTCGCATGCAAGGCAAACGCCCTACCTGCTGTGCTATCGCTCCAGCCCAATAACAAACAAAAAGTAGGTAAAAACACAAAACACTTAGAGAAGTTTAATTAATTAATTTAATTAAAGAAATAAATGCTAAACAACCAGTATGTCAAAAAAGAAATTGAAGGAGAAGTCAAGATATTCCTGAAAACATTTAAAAATGAAGACATGACTTATGAGAACATATAGGACAAAGCAATGCTGTACTAAGAGGGAAGTTCATAGGAATGCAAGTATTCATGGGGAAACAAGAAAAAGCCTAAACAAATAACCCAACACACAGTTCAGGTTACTATAAAAATGTCAACAGAGGAAACCGAAATAAGCGGAAGAAGGGAAATAAAAAAAGAGCAGATAACAAAGAATTAGAAACACATCAAAAGAGATCAATGAAAAAGAGCTGTTTTTTCAAAAGAGTAACAAGACTGACAGATCAATACGCTCAGAGAGAAAACTCTAAAAACTGCATCAGAAATGAAAGGGGAGACATTAAAATACCATAGAAATTCAAAGAATCATCTGAGATCACCATGAAAAACTTTATCCACAGATTGGAGAGCTTAGATAAAAAAAAATAATTCTTGGAAGAAAAGACACATATTCTTGGGCTAGAGATGTAACACATGAGTTAAGGCTTTCATGTAGCTGAAGCAGATTCAATACCCAGTGCTAAATCTGACTAATGCCAGTAGAGATCCCGTCCACAGTCAAAAGTAAGCGCTCAGGGGCTGGAGTAATAGCACAGCGGGTAGGGCATTTGAATTTGCCTTGTACCTGGCCTACGGGGGTTCGATTCCAAGCATCCCATATGGTCCCCTGAGTACCGCCAGGAGTAATTGCTGAGTGCAGAGCCAGGAGTAACCCCTATGCATCGCTGGGTGTGACCCAAAAAACAAACAAAGTAAGCCCTGAGAACCCTGGGATGTAGCTCAAACAACCTCCCCAAAATACCCAATAGGCCCTCTCCCACAAAAATAGTGGGAGTCCCCTATTTTTACCTAAGGTCGTCACTTTGTAGTCCCCTGGTTCCAGCTCTCCCACTGTATTATTTTTCATTTTGGTTCTAGGGTCACACCCGGAGGTGCTCAGGGATCACTCCTGATAGGGCTCGGGGACCATACTGGGTGCTGGGAATTGAATGCAGGTCAGCTAGAAGCAAGGCAAAAGCCCTATATGCTGTATTATCTCTCAGGCCAGCCTCTTCAACTTTTAACATACCCCCCCAGAAAACCTCTGGAGAGGCAGGTCCCGCACTTCTACCTCAGCATCCTCACCTCTAGGCCCAGAAAGTTAGGTGTAAATGCTTCGGGCAGAAGCGTTTTTGGTTTTTTTGCATATAAATATTTTTGGGTTCGTTTTGGGCCATGCTGGCTGGGACGAGGGGTTTATTCCTGGCTCTTTGATCCGGGGTCTCCACTGGCTGGTTGCAGCAGATCCGATGTGGTGATTGAGAGGAAGTTCCCAACGTCAGAGACAGAAGCCACCATGTTTACCTCCAAGGCCAGCCCGTTTGGCACCCGTGGCTTCCTGCCTCGAGGAGCACCCCTCCTCCACCCTCCAGGGCTTTGACATGCCCCCCTTCTACCTCGGGGGTCCTCGCCTGGAACCCGAGCTGGCAGAAGCGCCTGCCTATAACATGATGGAGGGGGCCTCTAAGGGGTAAAGCCTCCCACTTCCACCTCTAGGGCCGTACCTGGGTCGCGCTGCTCCGCCTCTGAAGAGAAGTGCCCCAAGAGAAAGTCTCGGGGATTCTGGCGCCTTCTATATCCCAGGATCCCGTGGGGGTAGGAACTTCGCACGTGACGGGAGTTCCTCCAACTCCCCCCCCCCCCAACCTCTTCTGCAATGGAAGGTGCCAGAAACCTTCCTCCTCCCCATTGGCCAGGCCTGGGATCCTGTCGTGGTTGATTTGAGGCTCCAGCCTGGAGACTCCAAGACTGAAGTCAAGTAATAGAAGTTTCTGTGGAGCCCGGCAAGGCCTCCCCGGGTGGACGATATGGACATGGGAGGGAAAAGGACTGTCCTCACTGGAAGCTTCTTGTGCTTTCACTCTTCCTTCATTCTCCTGCCAGGCGACATCTGCTGCCAGAGTCTCACTTCTACAACCCCAGTGAAACGCCGCAGATAACGCCTCATTCTCCTCAGACTTCTAAATGGCTCCACCGACCGTTAGCCCTTGACCTGGTTTTGAAACCGCATGCAAAGTCTTAGAAGTATCTGAAGTTTATCTATGTATTCCGGACAGGAAACAATAAGTAGATACTATATAATTTCGTCTATTGTTCGACACTCCACCAGAGCACAGAGAAATTCTTAGAATTCTCTACACAGCTAATATGATTCCCAAAGAGTATTTTTTCCATGTCTAATGAAAATCTTGCTAATAGTTTCACATTAGAGCATCCTTGCTGTCGATTTTTGGAAATCAAAGTTCCCTTAGAATCATAGTTGGTGAAAATATTTACCATTATTT